AAACATTGTGTGTTCATCCACCGGATTGGAACTTATGCAACTCGTGAGATGTCGTATATGTTGCGCGTAAGCGTGCACATCACGCTTACCTTGTTTGAGCTTCAAGAGCTCAGTTCGAGCTCTGAACTCAGCTCTAGGCGGTTCAAACGTTTGTCTGAGCCGCGACTTGAAGACTTCCAACGACCCAAACGCATATGGGTCGTGCAACTTGAGCACCAGTGCCCAAGTCTTGGCACGTCCTGCCAGATTTGACTGGGAAAATGCAACTTGCATTCCCCGTCGTCGATGCGACGCGCCCTTATGGTGTCGTCCAATCTGACGAACCATCTCAGGAGGGAGTCCTCTCGACTCCCTTATACTTGGAGATGTCAATCTTCAAAGTCTCGGGTCGACGCGAGTGCATCGACCCACCAGCAGCAGCCTGTTGCTGTCTCAACAGTTCAAACTGTTGAACACTCCCTTCTCTCAATAGTTCAAACTGTTGAACACTCTCTCTTCTCTCAACAACTCTGATTGTTGAGAACCTTGTTGGTGAAGCAAGACTATATTATCGCGTTCAGCGTCAAGTTCATTTCGAATGAACTTGGCGATAGTAGCATGTTGGGCATCTCTATTGAGAGCCTCTAGCATGACGCTAACAGCATGGATGCCCATGGTTGAACCCATCCGTTCAACCGCATCCCATTCGACATCGCTCAAATGGGAGTAGCCGTCACGCGTAGCGTGAAAGCTTTGGTCATCTTCATCATCCAACAAATTCATGTTAGATGTGAACGTGGTCCTTGGAAGGACTACGAAGTGCTACCAGGTGTAACGGGGCACCCTGAAGCTTGTACTGATGATAGTGCAAGCTACTTATTCTGATGACAGAATAAGTCGGTGCCGCGTAACTTCACGTACACTGGTACGTGCAGAGGAAGACGGTAAGAAGAAGCGAGTACTTGGTTAAAGTAAAAATTAGAACTGTATTTATAATAGTTAACGTCTGTTAATAAATCACTGTTTATCCTCATCTAACTATGTCTGAATACAAATGTGTGTATCAGTTATCTGCTCACCACTCATTGCGTGCGTCTGTCGTGGCGCGTCTTTGTTGGTTGATATAATGGCCTATATCAACCAATTAGGAACTACTCGTAAGTGCTGCAGAATATTTGTCCTTATGACAATATTATGAGAATGTAACTCTTACAGTTATATTCTATTAACAATTTCTAGTAAATTGTTATCCAACGATTCACCCCGTTACAGTGACTAGTTTTGGGACGTCAAAAGCGTGGATCAATGCATTAGAGCGAGTGGCACATGAAATTGTGAGGTGCGGGAATGCACAGCTGTACCTCATTGATTCCGTAACAGCACAAATGCCGGGATGTAACCACGACTGTGTAGCATACGACATTTTCGCAGTCTTGTTTGACTCTACGAAGACAGGTCATAGCGTTGAGGAACATACACTGTTTTCGCCAGTGCGTCGAGTGTGCTAGTGATCAAGTCGTTGCTCACAGCAACTAGGCTCCGCTGCCTGATTATACGCGACTTGCAGCGAGAGTTGCAGCAGAAGTAGCGCAGCGGAGCGCGCACGTAGTCGGTATGAGCCAGTCAGTCTCGTTTACAGGCGACCCGATCTGGTCGACCAGATGCTGATCGTGCTGACTGCAACCGCTACAGACCGAACTGCAGCGAAGCATCAGCCATCTGACGACCCTGGAATTAGATTTCGTGAACGCTTTTCCGTGTATTGTGTCACGTGCTTGGACCATGGGTAAACACACTCGTGCCCACCATGACTGCGTCTAGTGCGTCTATGAGGTTACGCAATGGGACATGTAGGAAGAGAGCCATACCTGGGTACGCTAAACTCGCGTACAAAGCTCCAAAAAGTATACAATGGCGAGACGCTGCGCTACAAGTGATGCATATTGACTCCGGCGTCGTCTTGGGATAGTGATGCTTTTCGCCTATGTAGTTCTGCTTTATAGGCGAAAATGTTGACTTTTTCCGGAGGAAGTCAACCTGTTTCTGGTATTCAGTTGCCCTGTGTTGGAAATTGCTTCGTGTGGATCGCAGCTCCGTGAGCTGGCGGGAAACGATGGTCAAAGACTTGATGAATCCAACCCGGACTAGATATGAGCAATCTTTCCGCATATCGCTGATGATTAGCAGCAGCTGCCCTCGACGATACATTTGACCGCGATATCGCGAGTCGCATCTTCCACTCCGGTGTCCCTCGACTACCTCGTGCAGACCGTTGTCTCTTTCTATCCTAGCTCTGTGAATCGCTGTGCACAAAAAGACAGCGAGTCGCGCAGGAGCTTCTCTTCTTCCTTGTGCAATTGTATTGTGTTCGATCCCTGCTAAATGCGCGATGATAGTCAGCTGCATCGCACGATAAAGTGAACAATCTGCTGGTCGCAAACGCTCTTGGGCGTGTTTAATTGGGACGAGGGAGGATGGGCGGACAACAGCAGGTATCACAGACAGGTTCAATTCAATTGGCCTCTTAGGTGTTATATATTATTTCGGAGATGAGTAAACCATGACTGACACAAACGTAAGCCATAATTCTTTCGATCTTTATAAAAGAAGTAGGCATTCAGATTAGTCGGTCAAAACAAAGGAAAGCAACATGCTTCAGCGTTAAGGTTTTTGCGCGTTGAGAGTTCGCGCATCTGCTGGTTTGTTTAAAATGCATGCACTCGTCCATAAATTAAATAATTATTTACCGTCCAGACACCTTTTCGCTACAAAGATTTCATCAATAATGACTTGTCACCAGACTCAGCTCAAGATGGCATGGCTGCGAGACTTGGAACTATCGCTGTACTACATTTACTGCCGACAGTCTAAGAAACTACTGCTAGGAAGCAGGCTGATGCAGCGTCGCGCAGAGGTTATTGTCGCAATAAGACCAAATGTCCAGCACGAACCCGTGCAGCAAATAAACAAGTCCAACATGCACTACATTTTCTAATGCAGAGCGTGATGTTTGAAACTCGCCCACAAAATTCAGGAGCACTCATCATTTGCAATTGAACCGATCAGAGTCACTACACATGTGTAACCAGCAAGACTACACAAGTGAAAACGTGCTGACATACACAACTGATTCGTATGACCAACAAAGTGCCAAGCATCAATGAATCCGCACGTGAGACCGCACTCACCGTCATCCTGATGGTCTTTGTTCATTGCAACCTGCAAATTTTGCACATACGCAAGCAACAATAGAGCGTAGAGCATACCCAACATCGTCTCTCCGTCATCCGATGCGGTTTTCTCCGTACCCACCGCCGTCTGCAATGCCGCATCATTAGACATGAAGCTAGTTGCTCCAAATTTTTGCTTTGTACTACTTTTATCACTCTCGCGCTTGTCTTAGGCATGTGCTTATTCGTTCGTATTTTCTGTACATATACCTGCTTGTTGTGAACACCCACAAAAAACTTCAAACACTTACCTTTTTATTTTCTTTTATTCCAAATCTACCACATGGATTAACTTCACTCCCTTAACCATTGCACATGAACACTCTATTGCACTTCGACTCGAATCCGTCCATGCATATGTGCCTATTTCAGTTGCTCAACTCAGCAACGATGCTAACAGCTTCGACGCAGGTTTCAACTCAGCTTCCAAACAGCAAATCAGTAGCAATGACATTCAATTGTGTCAGCCTTCGTCGACCTCTCACTCTCAAAAAATAATTTTCATCTTGCGACTACATCGACCATATCCGTTGAATCGTCAGCAGTTGCCAAAGGTTCCTGTCACCTGAAAGTGTCTTAATCTCATTAACCTCTCATGTGCGAAACAAAATAATTATAACGCCAACTCGCCCCCCCCCTTATAGCTTGCTTCTCTCCTCCTTAAAATCTGCTACATATCAGGACACAGCTACAACAATAAAAATTGAGGGCTTTTTGTAAGAAGTGATACAAGGTATTTTATTAAAGGAAACTTATTTAAATTACAACGATAAAATGATAGCTATCTTAAGGACTAATTTACTGCGCGTTTGATGAAGTCTTGTTTGTTCCAGTAGTCAGCAGGACTACCCGACGCCACGCAAGATTTTAAAATATCATACCGATTGATACCGTTATTCAGTAGGTATGCGAGTAAATAAGAACATGCTTGACAGCCTCTCAACAAAAATGCCACGTTACCAGAGCACAAAGAGCATGGGCGCATCAAGCAGCGCTGCCGTCGTGAAGGCTAAACGAAGGACCTGGACGGGGAGATGGTGCTCAGCGGTGCGTACTACTAGTGGAGATTGTTTCATTTTGCTGCTGGTCTGCATGAATAATGGGGTGCTTTTCGATTGCTGATGAAGGGAAGACATGGGTTTTTGGACAGATCATTACATCGAGACGGGCGATTACACTACCGTCAAAAATCTAATAGATGACACGATTGTGGAGTTTCATCAGTCTGACGCGATTGGTACGAACGGACTGGCTGATGGCACTGAATGTTTGTCGATTATTTGCTGACGTCTTGGTTGATTGATGTAACGGGGGGAATCGTTACATAACACTTTATTAGAAATTGTTAATAGAATATAACTGTAAGAGTTACATTCTCAGAATATTGTCATAAGGACAAATATTCTGCAGCACTTACGAGTAGTTCCTAATTGGTTGATATAGGCCATTATATCAACCAACAAAGACGCGCCACGACAGACGCACGCAATGAGTGGTGAGCAGATAACTGATACACACATTTGTATTCAGACATAGTTAGATGAGGATAAATAGTGATTTATTAACAGACGTTAACTATTATAAATACAGTTCTAATTTTTACTTTAACCAAGTACTCGCTTCTTCTTACCGTCTTCCTCTGCACGTACCAGTGTACGTGAAGTTACGCGGCACCGACTTATTCTGTCATCAGAATAAGTAGCTTGCACTATCATCAGTACAAGCTTCAGGGTGCCCCGTTACACCTGGTAGCACTTCGTAGTCCTTCCAAGGACCACGTTCACATCTAACATGAATATGTTGGATGATGAAGATGACCAAAGCTTTCACGCTACGCGTGACGGCTACTCCCATTTGAGCGATGTCGAATGGGATGCGGTTGAACGGATGGGTTCAACCATGGGCATCCATGCTGTTAGCGTCATGCTAGAGGCTCTCAATAGAGATGCCCAACATGCTACTATCGCCAAGTTCATTCGAAATGAACTTGACGCTGAACGCGATAATATAGTCTTGCTTCACCAACAAGGTTCTCAACAATCAGAGTTGTTGAGAGAAGAGAGTGTTCAACAGTTTGAACTGTTGAGAGAAGGGAGTGTTCAACAGTTTGAACTGTTGAGACAGCAACAGGCTGCTGCTGGTGGGTCGATGCACTCGCGTCGACCCGAGACTTTGAAGATTGACATCTCCAAGTATAAGGGAGTCGAGAGGACTCCCTCCTGAGATGGTTCGTCAGATTGGACGACACCATAAGGGCGCGTCGCATCGACGACGGGGAATGCAAGTTGCATTTTCCCAGTCAAATCTGGCAGGACGTGCCAAGACTTGGGCACTGGTGCTCAAGTTGCACGACCCATATGCGTTTGGGTCGTTGGAAGTCTTCAAGTCGCGGCTCAGACAAACGTTTGAACCGCCTAGAGCTGAGTTCAGAGCTCGAACTGAGCTCTTGAAGCTCAAACAAGGTAAGCGTGATGTGCACGCTTACGCGCAACATATACGACATCTCACGAGTTGCATGAGTTCCAATCCGGTGGATGAACACACAATGTTTTCGGTGTTCATGCAGGGTCTTGCGGATGGTCCCGTCAAGACTCACCTATTCCGACTTGAACTAGATTCACTAGAACAAGCCATTTCCATTGCGGAACAGGAAGACTTCAGTCTGAGACAGGCTCGCGCCAGCTCGACATCATATCGTCAACCGAGACGATATGACAACGGAGGTCCAGAGCCGATGAAACTCTGTTATGTAGAGAGCGAGAAGGCTCGCTCTACAGACTACAAGAAGTTGCAGAGATGCAACAGATGTCAGAAGACAGGACACTACGCTTACGAGTGTAGTGCCCCTCGTCCAGTGTCTCGCAACACTGGGCGTAGTGACCGTCCACCCATGAGAAAGGGGCAGGGAAGCGGGTCCGCTGTTGGTGCAAAGACGCGTCAACGGGATGGATCTTCAAAAAAACGGACAGGATCAGTAGGTGCGGAGCACCCTACTGGTCCAGCAACGTCAAGAGAATTTGTAGGCCTCTTGATGAAGGTTGCTCCCGACACACAAACATTGTGCGTTGCTGCTCTAGGTAATGAGATCTCACTCATTACCTTGAAACTCGAAGTGACAAATAAGTTGTCCCTTCGAGCTCTAGTCGATTGTGGGGCGTCCAACAATTTTGTGCGACGCCAATCGCTAGAAGATGGTCACTTTAAGTTCAGTGAATGTGACACACCTCCAACGAGGATGACGGTACGTCTGGCGACAGGCGCATTCGTAACCGTCATGAAGCTTATAGTGAAGATTCACTGTACGCTAGAAGATACCCAATATGATGATGACTTTATCGTATTGGATTTGGATGGCAAATTTGATGTCATCCTTGGAATACCGTGGCTCAGAAGGTACGAACCACGGGTTAATTGGCAAAATCGAACAGTAATGATGCCTGCCGCTTGTTCATCTGATGGCCATCTGATGAACGTTTTGGAGCGTCCACAAGCGTGTGGATGTACCACGAGTGAGTGCGATGGCCTCAATTGTGGTACGGTCGTTAGTACGACTGCACAAAACCTTAGTGTAACAAACGGTTACACTTCGGAGCAAAGTTCCGGCGGCTGTGAGGAAACACACGCTGCGCCGAAGGTCCACCACTCAAATAAGTCGAGTGGACCGGGACAAAGATGTATCCCTAGCGGGGGACATCTAGAAGAGAAACAATCGATCGCTCAGGTTATGCGAAACGATAATCCTAGATCGACTGGAGAGTCTTTCGTAGAGGATCTCGCTGTGGTTGCGCAACCACAGCTAGAGGTAGTTAAGGAAATGAGTCCCGATATTACAAAAACGGCGGAAATAAGTTCCCCGAAACCCGCGGGAATAAGTCCCCGGGAAGCCGAAGGAATAAGTCCTTCGAGGCCTGAGGGAATAATTCCCCAGGAAATGACAGAGACATTGAATGTCCTAGTCAATGATAGATCAAGTGTAGGCGCTTATACACTTGATCTGATTGCGCCTCCGAATTGACTTCGGAGATCACTCAGTTGCCAACGCTCGAACATAAAAGGTTCTTGCGTGATCTGCGTAGTGGCAAAGTCAAGCAGATCTGCATACTCGTCGCTGACGACGAGTGTGTAACCGACATAAGGTCAGCAACAGTGTTCACTGAGAACGAGAGAGTTCTCAGTAGTTCATCTATGGACGATAGCGTCCTCGATGAAAAGACACGAGTTGAGCGATATGACTCCCAATCGTGGGAATCGCTCAAGACAAATCCTCTCTATGAAGATTTGGTTGAATTTAAGGATGTATTCCCTGAAACTGTTCCGTGCGAATTACCGAAGGATAAAGGTACTCGACACGAGGTCGAGCTTAAACCAGGCTCGAAGTACTGTGTCATGAAGCAGTGGCCACTGCCTCGTGAACAAGTACTTGCGATTGACAAGTTCTTTGCCGATCGTTTAGCTGCGGGCCATGTGAGGGAATCAACTTCCCCACATAGCTCTCCGACCTTCTGTGTTCGAAAAGCAACAGGAGGCTGGCGGATTGTGCATGCATTTAACAAATTGAATGCTGCAACGGTACCGTCTCAGACGCCGATACCAAGGAAGGACGTAATCATTGATGGTATGTCAAAGAGTACCATCTTTTCGTCCATGTATTTGATGGATGGCTTCTATCAAATCCTTATGCGAGAACGGGAAATACCCTATACCGCAGTGAGCACGCCTAGCGGCATGCTCTGGGAATGGCTAGTAATGCCACAAGGGCTTAGTATTGCCCCTGCCACGTTCAACAGATGTGTATCGCATCTGTTGAAATCAGTGCGAGAATTCGCACCAAGTTATTTCGATAGCCTATTCATCCATAGTTGGGCTATGGATGGAAAGTCGGACGTTGAGGTTCACAGGTACCACGTCCGACATGTTCTTACAATCATGCGAAAGCATCAATTGTATGCAAACCTCAAGAAGTGTATATTTGCAGCAAGCGAAATACCACTTCTTGGGTGCATCGTTGGTTAGAACGGTGTACGTCCTGATCCCGAAAAGATCAAGGCGATCACCGACTGGCCTGTGCCAGTTGATGTCAAAGGTCTTCGAAAATTCCTTGGGCTATCGGCGTATTTGCATAAGTATTCACGCAATCACGCCGAGATGACTGTGCACCTCTATCGTTTGTTGAAAATGAACGAGAGGTGGTTATGGAACGCTGAATGTCAGCGCTCCTTTGATGGTATCAGGCAGAGCTTGATAAAACCCCCAGTCCTAGCAATAGCCGATCAGGACAGGCCATTTCATGTGGTCTGTGATGCCAGCGATTTTGCAATCGGCTGTGCATTAATGCAGTACGACCTAGAAGGCGTTGAACGCGTCGTCTGCTATCAGTCGCGTCAGCTGCAACCAGCTGAGCGGAACTATCCAGTGCATGACAAGGAACTCCTTGCCATGAAGTATGCACTCGCGAAGTTCAGCGTCTATCGATTAGGAGATAGACCCTTCATGGTTTACACTGACCATGCGTCATTACGCACGGCAGTGAACAGCCCGCACCTTTCACAACAAATGGCGCGGTGGTTGTCATTCTTTGCAGAATACAACTTTACGGTCGAGTACAAACCAGGACGACTTAATGTCGTCGCTGATGCACTCTCACGTCGTCCCGACTTTGAGCCAGTCGTGAAACCCAACAGTGGGACAGCCACTGCTGCGGTTATAATGTCCACAATACCATCTACAACGTTACATGATGATGTGAGGCGGGCGTATGCCCAAGATGGTGAGATTGTGAAGTTGTTGACACATCTCTCACAACCATCTCGAGAATCGTTGAAACGATTGTCGTCTGCGTATCGATCTGCATCAGATCGACACACTACTCGCAACGGTTTACTGTATTACACAGCCGTTTCTGGTGACACACCACGTGTTGTCATCCCAGATGATAATGATATGCGTTTGCGGATCATGTTCGAGTATCACGATGCTCCTATCGGAGGACATCGTGGCCGGGAGAAACATATCTCACGGTGAGTCAAGACTTTTACTGGCCCCGCCAGTATCAGTTTGTGCGAAAGTATGTTCGCGCATGCGAAGTCTGTCAACGAGTGAAGTCAAGTCCTTCACTGCGTGCACCTTTACAGCCTCTACCGGTTCCGGCAGAGTGCTGGGAATCCACCTCAATGGATTTCGTCTTCAGGTTACCCAAAGACGCACGCGGGAATACGGGTATTCTCGTATTTGTTGACAGATTCAGCAAAATGGTACACCTTGTGGCTGTACCAGAGTCAATAACGGCAAGTGGCTGTGCTTGTGTCTTTATCTACACCATCTTCCGACTTCATGGGCTGCCCCTTGAACTCGTATCAGACAGAGATCCACGATTCACTGCTGATTTCTGGCGTTCCGTGTTTAAATCACTCGGAACGCGCTTGAAGATGTCTACATCTGATCATCCAGAGTCAGATGGTCAGACGGAACGTGCCAATCGTGTCCTCGAAGAGATACTTCGAGGATACGTACACTCCTTTAACAGTTGGAGTGAGTTCTTGCCAATGGTAGAGTTTGCCATTAACAACTCGGTGCATGCGTCCACGACACATATACCGTTTTACGTGAATGGCTTACGCCATCCGCGTGTACCCACCTTACTAGAGTGTAAATCTGGCTTAAGGGGGGAGGAACTCGCGCGATCAAAAACCGATTTGGTTCACGCTCATCACGCTCTGATGAAGAAGTCATTGCTTTTGATGCCGATAACATCGATATCGAAGAAGATGATGCCAGTGAGATTGCGGAAGCCCTCACTGAAGAAAAGGTTGATGTTGCTGCAGTGCACTCACAGCGCACTGAAGCTAACGATTCACCAGATGAGTTCATACTGGCTCGTGAAACGGTAGTCCGTTTTGTGCAAGACTCCATCGCCGAAGCGGTGGATAAGCAAAAATAAAACACTGACAAGAATGGAAGGGCAAACACTCTTTTATTTAATAAAGGTGACTTAGTCCTACTGTCTACGGTTAATCTACCGAAGCATGTAGTGACTAACTTGGGTAGCAGTAAACTGCTACCCAAGTACATCGGCCCATTTCGTGTATTGCATCGCCTCGGCAATGCACACACGATCTAGTTGCCACGTAAGATGCGAACGCATCCCACGTTTTACGTTGGTCGGATTAAGCCGTATCATCATTACGCTGTTTCTTCCGATGAAGAACGCCTTTGCGCTTAAGCAT